GGATTCCCAGCCAGACAAGCTCAATATCGCGCCGGAGTCCCATACAGAGCCAGAGTTTGATGATGGCGAAGCTGCTCCATTGTTTCGCCATGAGTCTTTCCAAGCGGATCATGATCCTCAGATCCCCCCCACTATGGTCATCGACGATGAGTCTGCGCAATCATCGACAGACCAGACTAGTTCGGGAGAGGCCATAGATACACCTTCGGAGCCTGACGACAGTGACGAGTTGCATCTAGCGCCCTTGCTCAGCCACGAGACGGACTTCGAGAATGGCGGAGCGGGGCGGAGCGACGGAACGCATTTTCCCCATGAAACTGACAACGACGATGACGATGACGATGATTTCGGTGGAGCTCCTCTCTTTCCTCACGAGACTAGCTTCCACGATGACAGCAGAATTCCAACCGAACTTGAAGATGACGAGGACGAGCTCGACAGGTACCCGTTGCTATCACACGAAAGTGGTTTCCCGGATTACAAGAGAAGCGAGATCGTCACTAAGAGTGATAATTCGGGAATCTCGGAGCCACGTCACTATGGGGCCTACGAGGATGATAAGGACGACTACGCTGAGGATGAAGAGGGCGATGCGCCTCTCCTCCCCCATGAACGCGAATCATCTGCTGTCAGTAGCACTGGGTCTACCTTTTCCGAGGACGATGCCCCCTTTTCTCTGGACAGGCAACCGACTTTTGGTTACGAGACGGACAATGCGAGAGAACTGTTCGGCGGAGCTGGTCGACACGACTTCTTTAGAGGGCGAACAGGAAGTAATCTTCCCCACAGGCTACCACAATCAGATGCGGAAGACCATGACCTGAACGATCCGTCGTTGGAGCGATTTCCCACTAGCCGTCAATCAATTTTGGAACGTGTAGCGACAATTGGCATGCATCTTCCCGAAGATGAATCGATGCACGAGCGCCCACATTCTCCCCAGCCATCTGTTTTATCTCAAGCGTGCTCCTCTGTCGATCTTGTACCTGTCAAATCGCACACCTCGCTAGCTTCTGTACCTGAAGACGAATTCAGCGACGAAGAGGAGGACCACCATGACCTAGACAGTATGCCATCGCCCGTGTACATCAGCCACAATACTACCCGCATGTCCAGTCCGCCCGCCAGATTCGTGCGTGACCCATACGCAACCCCCCTGCCTGATGAAAGCAAGCAACTGGGGTACGCTGTCGATACCAAACATGACGAGTCGAGTAATCATACCCGCGAGTCCAGCGAAGCGGAAAGTGTGGATAAGCATGACGGTGCAAAAGACGTTTCTCAAGCTTCCAATGCTCTGCGGGATGCCATTACCACATCTGTCAACACCGAGAAACCTGCCATGGATCATGTTACGTCTGAGCCCAAGGCTACCGCAGCAGGTGCACACCCTGTAGCGGGTCCGGATTCTGACATTCGGCAGCGCAGAGTACTAGCTGAAGAGTCTTCACAGCCATCAGAAGATGCGACAAGAACAGCGACAGATGGTGTCAGTATCAAAGACAAGATTGTCGAGGCAGCGAAGCCTGCACTTGCACAGCGACCGAATCATCGCAACGAGAACTTTCTTCAGCATTTCTTCCGAGCCATGTTTGGGCCCGTCGGTCACCTCATGACTGCTTGTTTTGGCGATCGGAAGCGAGCTAGGTGAGCGAACACCGTTTCCTTTTTCTCCTTGAATCCTTGAGTATGTGGCTTGTGGCGCTCTTGCCCCACATGAATTCCATCATACAATAATAACATTAAGAGACGCCATTGCTAACACAAAAGCTTCAGTGCTTCCGCTCTTGTTCTTGGTACTGGTGCAGCGACTTACTATTACGCTGCGAAAGCATCAAGATAAGCTTGTGCCTAGTGCACGGTAATCAAGATTGAGACCCCTGGGATTCACATTACGATGAACGCAGAAAGAGCATAGCGATGCGGTATTGAGTTGCCGTGAATTGGACTTCCCTGTACCTGCAATGAGCATAACGAGATTAATGACCTGGGTTACAAGAGCATGCGCTTGGGTGCGCTGGCGTTTTATGTAGCATTCTCTCTCCTCTTTCCACCTCGACAACCTCATCTTGCGTCGACAAAGTAATGAATGTGTTTGTGTGCTGTACGTCTTCGTTCCAATGAATATCTTGTGTTTGACAGTGGGACCACAACCCAGAGCCAATATCAAGGCGGCAAAAAATCACGTCCGATTAGCACGTAAATCCATTCTTTGATGTAAACGTGGGCTGTATCATAGTCTTATTTCTTCTGTGTATTGCGACACAGCGGTACTACCTAGGTATCTCATATCTCATAGCAAGGGTTTCTTTATGTAAAACAAGGACAAGACTCAAGTCTAGTGAAGAAAACGTCAGCGAGTGTAACACAACCCAACCACCATGCTACCCATTCAGGAAAAGTAGACGGTAGGTTACACGCGCGGGAACAGGGGAACGAAAACGCGACCGCGGCTGCGTGTGATTTTTCTCACAGACGCGGCCTGTTTGCTCCACTCGATTGTGCACTCACCGACTTGTTCTTGACATCGTATCGGTCGTTGTTCATAATCTTCTCCCATCCGGCAACAAACTCCTTGACAAACTTGTCCGCGTTGTCGGGTGAGGCGTATGTCTCGGCGACGGCGCGGAGCTCAGGGTGCGCACCGAAGACAAGGTCGTGGCGGGTGGCGGTCCACTTCTTCTGGCCGGACTTGCGGTCGACGCCCTCGTATAGCTCCTTGCTTGCGTCAGTTGCCTTCCACTCGGTGTTGTTGTCGAGAAGGTTGACGAAGAAGTCGTTGGTGAGTTGACCGGGACGCTTGGTGAAGACGCCGTGGGATGAGCCGTCCCAGTTGGCGTTCAGCGCGCGCATACCACCGGTGAGGACAACCATCTCGGGGGCAGTAAGGCGGAGAAGATGAGCCTTGTCAACGTCGAGTTGCTCGGTGCGGACACGCTCGGTACCCTTGCCGAAGTTACGGAAACCGTCAGTGACGGGCTCAAGGTGCTCGAAAGACTGAACGTCAGTCTGCTCCTGCGAAGCGTCGGTGCGGCCGGGGGTGAAGGGAACGGATACACCGGCAGCCTTCTCGACGGCAGCGGTACCAGCCAAGACAATCAAGTCAGCTAGAGAAACCTTCTTGCTGCCACCGTTGAACTTGGACTGGATGCCTTCGAGGGCCTTGAGAACCTCAGCAAGCTCCTTGGGGTTGTTGACCTCCCAGTCCTTCTGGGGAGCAAGGCGAATACGGGCACCGTTGGCGCCTCCACGCTTGTCGCTGCCACGGAAAGAAGCTGCTGAAGCCCAAGCAGTGCGGATGAGCTTAGCGGGCTCGATGCCAGCGTCAAGTATTTGCTTCTTCAGTGTTGAGATTTCGGACTCGCCGATGATCTCGCCCTCTGGCTGGGGAACGGGGTCCTCCCAGATGAGCACCTCCTTAGGAATCTCAGGGCCCAACCACCTGGAGCGGGGACCCATGTCACGGTGGAGGAGCTTGAACCAGGCGCGAACAAAGGCGTCGTGTAGCTCCTCGGGGTGGTCCAGCCAGCGACGCGTGATCTTCTCGTAGGCAGGGTCCATTCGCATGGACAAATCGGTAGTCAACATCCTCGGCTTGTGCTTCTTGCCCTGGTCGTAGGCGTCGGGAATGATCTTGTCCTCGGTCTTAGCGACCCACTGGTTCGCGCCAGCAGGGCTCTTCTCCAGCTCCCACTCGTACTTGTAGAGGTACTCGAGGTACTTGTTGCTCCACTTGGTGGGTGTGCCGGTCCAGGTGACCTCCAGACCACTCGTGATGGTGTCGGGACCATTGCCGCGGCCGTGCTTGTTCATCCACCCAAATCCTTGTGTCGAAAGATCCTCAGAGTTCGGGTCTGGGCCAGTGTTCTCGGTGGGAGCAGCACCGTGTGTCTTTCCGAAGGAGTGGCCTCCGATGATGAGGGCGGCGGTCTCCTCGTCGTTCATGGCCATGCGGCCGAAAGTCGTGCGGATGTCGTGAGCGGCGGCAACGGGGTCGGGAACACCCTCAGGACCTGAGCGCGTTAGGTTGGTAGAAGCAGAGTGCCAGCTGGGTTTGCTTACCTTCTGGGTTCACGTAGATGAGACCCATGTGTGCGGCGGCCAAGGGCTTCTCGAGATCCCTCGATGTGTGAGTCTCGTCCTTGTCAACCTTGTGCTGGTCACCGTCCATGATACCCTGGCCCTTGACACCTTTGGCGCCGTCAGCGTAGCGGACATCGCTGCCGAGCCACTCGGTCTCGCCACCCCAGTAGACAGACTCGTCGGACTGGAAAGTGTCGGCGCGGCCACCGGCGAAACCAAAGGTCGGGCAGCCCATGGACTCGAGCGCGACGTTGCCAGTAAGCAGCATCAAGTCGGCCCAGGAGATCTTGTTGCCATACTTTTGCTTGATGGGCCAGAGCAGGCGGCGGGCCTTGTCGAGGGAGACGTTGTCGGGCCATGCATTGAGGGGAGCAAAGCGCTGCTGTCCCTCACCACCACCACCACGGCCGTCGGTGACACGGTAGGTACCAGCCGAGTGCCATGCCATACGGATGCTACGGGCATGTTAGAGGGAAGTAGCTAGGGCCAATTGGGGAGTGGACGTACAAAAGACCGCCATAGTGACCAAAGTCGGCGGGCCACCAGTCCTGCGAGTCGGTCATCAGGGCATTGAGGTCTTTCTTGAGCGCATCGTAGTCGAGCTTCTTGAACTCGTCGGCGTAGTTGAAGTCGGCGCCGAGAGGGTTCTGTCTGGGGTCGTGCTGGCGGAGGATGTTGGTCCTAAGCTCATTGGGCCACCAGTCTGCATTCCGGGTGCCGGCGCCAGCGACGTTGGGCGTCTTCTTGACGGGACACTCGCTTTGGGACATGGTGGAGTGTGGTGTCGTGTGTAGTAGAAGAGACTGTTTGAGGGAAACAAACTGTACACACCGCTGCTGGGTTGATCTGGGTGTATAAGTAGCGGGGCATTCATAAGCACGACCAATCTGGCCAGCACCTTCCTGGCTTGCCCCCCGCATCTGTTAGCTCCATCCTGCCTAGCATCACGAGAAGCTCCGCCCCACTATCGTGACTTCACCCAAGGACGCGGCCGCAATTCTCGGTGCTGCTAGTGGCACGACGTCTCATTGGTGCACCTCGTCGCGCTCCATCAGACACTTTCGTCAAAGGCCAGCATTTCTGTCGCCGCCACGCGCGATGGCATGACGACCTCGATTGGCATGTGGGCCCTCTAGACCCCGCTTTCGGAACCGCTACCATCACTGTAATACTCGCCTTGTGATTCGTGGACGCGAAGTCACGACGAGAAGAAGCTATGGCGGAAATCGGCGGCTTGGTGCGCTGGACGAGGCCAGACACCGACTTTGAGTAAGCCGTCAAGCAGCGACCCGCATCACCGACGAGGCCACGCCATACTGAATCGCGTAATGCATGGAATCTGCTAGACGCACCAACTCGTCTGATCGACCGGGTGGATATGCTATCATCCATGGGCCTGACAGCAAATAAAAGTAAGTGGAACTCTAATCCACTAACGACCTTCGATCCCGAAACATCGTCTAGCAGCACATGGTTTGGGTTTGATGCGTCCATCTCTTGCCACTTGGGAACGTCGGATTCTGCATCTACTCGTGTGATTGGCGTGGAAAAGGCTGCAACAGTTGAGTGATTTGACATGGAGTGAAGTCTGAAATGGATGTATTGTAAATATGAGTGAACTGTCAACAACAATCGAAAATACCTGGGTCTCACGCCACCTTAACTTGCCCGACAACCCCACGTACATCCCCCGCACCACACGCGCCTCATATATGGGGAAGGCCAAGCGTCTATACGCACACGGCTCCGACAACCGCCCACTTCGCTCTTTCAACGCGGAAACCCCCGCCTTCCCTTATGTGAGGAACGATTCGAGCCTGCTGAGTCGCGTTGATGAAGATCCATACTTTACTGGACAGATGGGCATAGATTCAAGACCGAGGTTGTCTAGCTAGCATTCCATTGGCTTGTGCGGAATCGCGAGGTGAATTGCTACTCCGTCATTGGAGAAGCTTGCGGCGCGGACAGTCTGTGCGATTTCATGAAATGAGGGGTAGGATGATGTTGAGGGGTTCATGTATTGACCTTTCTCTAGTCGTCGGGCTGTCACCTTTTTGATCTGTTCACCTTCATACTAATCAACTTTGTAGCAAGCTCCTCGACTACCAATCTCTCAATATGACAGAAGAAAAAGTCCAAACCTTTGACATACCGAAAACATGCAAAGCTGGTGTCGTAGTCAACGAGGGTCCAGACTTCCACGTTGAGGTGCAGGATGTTCCAGTCCCAGAATGTGGTATGTGTCGAGCACTGTTCAGGGAATCGACGAGTGTTGACAACGCTCCCAGGGCCGACGGACGTACTCATCAAGCTGAATGCAACCGGTATCTGCCACAGCGATCTTCACTTCATGCTTAACGACTGGGCCCTACCCAAGATGTCAGATTTAGGAGTACGATGTGCGGGACACGAAGGCAGCGGTGTCATCGTCAAAGTCGGAGACCAGGTCAAGAATTTGAAGCCGGGAATGCGAGCTGGATACAAGGTGAGCAGGCCGAACATCATGTCCCCATGCATCGAGGAGGAGGTGATGCGAAGGGAGAGCCTTTCCAGAAGAACATACGCTGACGTTTTCAGCCAATTCAAGATACTTGCGGCACATGCGAGCTTTGTCGCAACGGCAACGAATGCTACTGTGCAAAGGCAGTCTTGACTGGACTGATGATCGACGGCTCATACAAGCAGTACATCGTTTCGCCCGAACGTTACACAACCCTCGTCCCAGATGGTGTAAACGACTACATAGCTGGACCTATCATGTGCTCTGCTTCGACAATCTATACATCAATCAAGGAGTCACAGCTGCGGCCCGGAGACTGGGCCGTGTTCCCTGGTGCAGGCGGCGGCGTCGGTCTACAAGGTGTGCAGCTCGCGAAAGCCATGGGTCTGCGCGCTATAGCCATTGATACTGGCGATGATAAGCAAAAGCTCTGCATGGAAACTGGAGGCGCAGAGCACTTCATTGATTTCAAGAAAACCGACAACGTAGGCGAGGAAGTGGTGCGGTTGTGTGACGGCATCGGTGCCCATGGCGTCTTCGTCACCGCCGTGCAGACCTATCCGTCCTCGATATCCTATCTGGGTAACCGTGTAGGCGGAAAGGTCATGTGCATTGGGTTGCCGCCGGCTGGTACTCAGCACATCGACGTGGACCCGAACCAGATGTGCTTCAGGAAACAGAGTGTACAGGGTACGCTCGTGAGCAGCATGGCGGATGTAGACAAGACGCTTGATTTTGCGAAGCGAGGACTGTTGAAGCCTATCTACACAGTGTATCCGCTGAGCAAGTTCAACGAAGCCGTGCAGAAGCTGAAGCGGGGGGAGATTGCTGGCCGGGCGGTTGTCGATTTTAACCAGGAGTAGAGGGGGTACGAATTTCACCTGTAAATTAAATGAGACACAAAAAGTTGTTGCATTTCTACGACGAAATGATGTGACGGAAATGTAGCCAGGTGGTGATGACTGAGGTCGTTTGGCATGTGATTGAATAGTCTTGGCATGTGTGCGATCAAACGCCAGCCACGCCTCACCAAATACCGCAATAGGACGACATCCCTCCGCTGCATGTAATGGCTGCTTGAGCAATGCGCCCCAGCTTACACAAGAGCATATGTCGAGGGCATGTCCAGCTCGTCGCCAAATCCGTCGTCCCGTGGACAGGCTGAAGCATCGTCGAGGCGCACATTGAACGGGAAGCAGCCGGTCGTGGAGGACGACGACAGCGATGAAGAGGCGCTGCTGGCGGACGATGCACTAGAACGCGACCTGCCCGAGCAGTATGCGCAAACAGAGCCCTTGGTATACCTCTATACTAATGCGTATCTCTAGGCTGTCTTTTAAGCGCAGGCCCAAGCCGTCTACATCCTCCTTTGGCTTCTCGCGATACCTCGCCTCACCCCTCGGATCATCTAGCAACCGCGCTTCGCCCCAGCCGCGATCGCACCGCCCGAACGGCTCCACTGAGCTTATACTCAACTATCTCGACACGCCTGGCAACGCAGGCGAACACCTTCAAGACACCAAAGATGCAAACGGGCTAGATTGGTACGTGGAAGGGCCCGGGCGACGAGTCGGCTACGACGACCTTACAGCAATCGACTGGATCTTTGAATACGCCAAAGAACGACAGAGGCTACGCTATCTCTACACCGGCGCCAGCGGCGTACTTGGCCATCTCAAGCAGTTGGCAGACGCAAGCCAGGTCTGGATCATCCTGGTCGCTGCCGGTATACTGAGCGGCGGAATCGCAGCCTTCATCGATGTGGCTAGTGATTGGCTTGCAGACCTCAAGACGGGATACTGCCACAATGTTGATGGAGACGGTCGCTTCTACCTGAACAAGAGCTTCTGTTGTTGGGGGATCGAGGAAGAGCAGGCCTGTCACGACTGGAACTCCTGGGGCGCCGCTATGGGCATTGGGAGTGTGGGAGGGCGGTATATTGTCGAGTACGTCTTCTTTGTGCTCTTCTCCGTGCTCTTTGCAGCATGCGCCAGTCTTTTGGTGCGCGAGTTCTCGCCGTACGCGAAGCATAGTGGTATACCCGAGATCAAGACGGTCCTGGGCGGCTTCGTTATCAGACACTTTCTGGGCGGATGGACACTGGTCACAAAAACGGTTGGCTTGTGCCTCGCAGTCGCGTCAGGCTTGTGGCTAGGCAAGGAGGGTCCGCTGGTACACGTCGCATGCTGCTCTGCGAACCTTTTCATGAAACTCTTTGGTAATGTGAACGGCAATGAAGGTCAGCATCGTACCCCCCAATTCTCTGGTCTCCAAGTACTGACAGGAGAATAGCACGGAAACGAGAAGTGTTTTCCGCAGCGGCTGCAGCGGGTATCTCGGTCGCTTTCGGTGCGCCCATTGGTGGCGTGTTATTCAGTCTTGAGCAACTCTCATATTACTTCCCGGATAAAACCATGTGGAGCAGCTTCGTCTGCGCCATGGTTGCTGCTGTTACTCTGCAGGCTTGCAATCCATTCCACACCGGGAAACTTGTGCTGTACCAAGTCACGTACCATAGCGGATGGCATGACTTCGAGTTGGTCCCTTTCGCATTCCTCGGAATCTTGGGCGGACTTTTTGGGGGCTTCTTCATCAAGCTCAACATGGGCGTTGCTGAGTGGCGCAAGAACCGACAGTATCTCAAAGGTCCCGTGACAGAGGTGGTCATCGTATCCTTCGTCACAGCACTCATCAACTTCCCCATCAAATTCATGCGCGCTCAAGCGTCCGAACTCGTACACATCTTATTTGCCGAATGCGCCGACCTCGCCGAGGATACGCTGGGCCTATGTAAATCGGGCAAAGCAAACACAGGAGTCATTGCACTCTTACTTATCTCCTCAGGACTGGGCATAATACTTTCGGGCTTCACCTTCGGCCTGCAGATACCTGCTGGAATTATCCTCCCTTCTATGGCCATCGGAGGGCTCTTTGGCCGTGCTGTGGGACTTTCTGTCGAAGTTGTTCAGGCGGCCTGGCCAACGCTCTTCGTTTTCAAGTCGTGCGAACCAGACGTACCCTGTGTAACCCCAGGAACATACGCTATCGTCGGTGCCGCATCCGCACTTGCCGGAACGACACGTATGACAGTTTCAATCGTAGTCATCATGTTCGAACTTACCGGAGCGCTCACCTATGTCCTGCCTATCATGATTGCAGTCATGATAAGTAAATGGATTGGCGATGCAATCTCTCCACGTGGTATCTATGAGTCCTGGATACACTTCAAAGGCTATCCTTTTCTTGACAACCGCGAAGACAACGGTTCCAGCATTCCAGATGTTGGCGCCGGTTATGTAATGACGCGCATCGAAGACTTGACTGCGATTACTGCGACTGGCCATACTATCGGATCGCTGCGCCAGCTTCTATCTCAACACAGATTTCGTGGCTTTCCTGTCATAGACAATAGTCGTGATGCACTTCTACTCGGTTACATCTCCAGGACCGAATTGCAGTATGCACTCCAACTTGCCTTGACGCCTCCCCGTACCTTGGCTGCCGAAACAGAAGCGTACTTTTCTCACCAACCTCTCTCCGATCCTGCAACATCACTAGACCTTCGACCTTGGATGGATCAAACGCCCATCACACTCAACGCTAGAGCCAGCTTTCAGCTTACAGTATCCATGTTCCAAAAGCTTGGTCTACGCTATGTTTTGTTTACGGACCGAGGTATGCTGAAGGGCTTGCTTACCAAAAAAGACGTGTGGTACGTAATGAACGGTGTTGACGAAGAGCGCGAAGAAGGTGGTGCAGGGGTGGGGGTGAGAGGAGGTCTTAGGCAGGAGAGTGATGACGACGAAGAGAGCGAAGAAAGAGGGTTACTCGGTACGCCAGAAGAGGAACACGATGACTTCATTGGCGCGCACGATAGATAGCCGTGTGTAGAAGCTGTAGCACCGCGTTCCACACGCGTACATGGACAGTGTAGTTTTCGTCAGAACAAAGTCTAAACTCTAATTGTGTGATGAGATTCTGGTGATCCCACGGGACTCCAAAGACCCGGTGAATGGCAAGGATGGCGTCCGATCGCTGTAGTGGCAAGTTAGCCGTTGATCGGGGGTGTGGGGATGGATGTGCGCTGGAACACCAGAAACAGCAATCTCGTCTTCTGTTCCTGCAGACCGCTACAGGTTCGCAATTTCGGCTTTCGCGACGTTTACGGACGGTCACGAGGTCTACATGCATCGACAACGAAGGGCTACATGTCCACCGCTCCAATACGCGCCAAGATTTCTACGCAGCCAATCGCACCTGCTTGTCATCTAGCGTTGTGTATCCAGCCAGTGATAGGCCTAGCGCCGTGGCTATACCGCGGCTTCCTTGCGCCTGCATCGACCCGCCCTTAACAGCCGGCCGCGCCCATTCTGACTTCAGAGCCTTTCACTCCTTCGGCCTTTGACGTGTCCCCTCGTTTGTCAGACGTCTTTCAGCTCCCCAACAAAAGCAACACAATCTGAAATCGAGCTTCAAAGATCTACGCCCGTCATGCAACCCTCATTAGCGTAAGGCAGGAGCACGCAGCGGCTATGACTGAAACTTGGCATACGTCGCGGACAGGACATCGACGACGATTACCGCGTTGAACAGATCCCACGACTTCCCCGCCATTACGACACTGCCTATACTTTTTCGTTCACTTTCTTGCAAAGCCATATACAGACTAGGGCGACGACATGGCGGCGACCGAAGTCGAGAGGAAGAGCAGGAAGAAGTCCTCGCACTCTTCGTCCAAGACTTCGAAGCCGCGCTCCTCTTCCAGGAAACCACGCGTCTCAGCTTCAGTGGCAGACATGTACTTGCAAGATTACGCGCCTCCGGTTCAGGCGACCTCTCCTCAACATGCAGCAGCAACGAGGCCTCCCCCGACACTTTATGGCTATGCCGCAAGTCCGCCTCGGCACTCTGTTTATCGCCAGATGCCTGGCTCCTTTCCCGAAGATGGTTACCGATATGGCTCTCCGCCACCGCAGCCTGTTCAGCCATACGCTAGTCAATCAACGATCCGCTTTGCTTCTCCGCCACCCCAAGAACCCCGCGGTCAAGGCCCTTTCGAACAACAATGGAACAGTCTCGACCGAATGGCCGCCAAATCCTACACGAACCTTCGTGATACGGCTGGAAAGAGTGTCACGAAACTGACGACCAACTGCATCGAGCGACCCACCGCAGCTGTCGCTACAAAAAGCATGCAAACGTTGTGTCGCGGAGCTGCGCTGTACGATATAATTAGTTCGAAATTCGACGCAGTCATCACCAGCATTGATGACGATCACTTCAGCGGCAAGGAACAAGACCTCATGATGGAGTTTAGCGAGCAGCAGCAAGAAGAGGCTCAGAGAACGAGCCCCCCTCTTGGTGAACCCAGACGCCGACGCCAACACGAAGTGCAATCCCACTCTAGTAGCGATAAAGCGTCGAACCATTTCTCCAAGGTGTGGCTATACTCCAACTCCCGGTTGCCACCACATCTGCCGCCTTTCAAAGTATATCTACCTACTTATCCTCTACTTTGCTTGGCGGCAACCTACTCGGAGAAGGCGTACACGCCACCAGGCACGAAAAAGAATCCTGAAATGGAGACTTTTGTTCCTGCTGATTGGCGTAGCGGCACGAAAGCCATGGTACTCAAGTCCATCCCTGTGGAAGAACTGAATACTATCGTCTTCGCTATTCGCGGAAGCCAGACCTTTATGGATTGGGCTGTCAACTACAACTCGGCACCCCACAGCCCAGAGAAGTTTCTTGACGACCCGTCAAACCTATGCCACGCTGGCTTTCTCTACGTGGCCAAGAAGATGATCAAACCCGTGGCAGAACGGTTGAAGGTCTTGCTCCAAGAAAACCCCGCGCGTTCAAACTGCAGTCTACTCATCACCGGACACTCCGCGGGCGGAGCAGTCGCGGCACTGCTTTACGGACACATGATGAGCACAAAGATCAATTCTGAGCTTAATTACCTGACCAGCTTCTTCAAGCGCGTGCACTGTGTCACGTTCGGTGCGCCACCAGTCAGTCTGCATCCGTTGAAGAAGCCTGACGACAAGCGACATCGTAAAAGTCTCTTCTATGCCTTCATCAACGAAGGCGACCCAATACCGCGAGCGGACAAGAGCGTGCTGAAAAGCTTGCTGAAACTCTATGCCAGTCCAGCACCTGTCGCGGCTTCCAACCTTGCTTCGACCGTTGCATCGATGTCTAAACCCAGTCTTCTAGACCCTTCGCGGTCTTCCCCACCGAAACCGAAATCGAAGTATGGTTTTGCCCCGCGCCTTAGCAGGCCCTCCAAATCATCACTGCAAACGAACACTTCAAACTCGACTTCTTCTTCCTTGCCCGCATGGCCGATACCGCAGTGTACTTTGTCACCTGCGGGGCGATTGATAGTGTTGAGACAACGAGTCGGAAGCAGAAGTGAGGAAGATATCGAGGCAGTAACGGTGGACGACGAGATGTTGAGGAAGGTTGTATACGGTGATCTGCTGAAACACCAGATGACCGTCTACAAAAAAAGGATTGATAGCGTGGCTGTTAGGGCTGTCACCGCGAATGGGTGTTGAGCGGCCGGAATGGCTGTACATGAAATTGATAACCGCACACAGAAATGAATGAGCGATGAATCTATATACCCAATGTCTTGATCTACTGTCCTTCTACTGCCTGTTCTCACGTCTTCCAAGCTCATGTGCGTCTAGATTTGGGGTCATGCCATCGCGAATTCTTTAGGCCCAAGAGAGGTGTTTGGAGGTAGGCAGACGGGTTCATTTACGTGATGATTGGCTCAGCCTTTGTACACCAAAACCTTGATTCATGCAAGTCTCATTCACAGAATTGCATGACGACCATATTACATGGGAGTATCATACCCTGACAACCACTGGACTGTACATGACAATTGAGACGGATGCTAGAGTGCATGTCGATGATTCGAAATACACCAGCCGGTTCACGTCTCGATAAACTATGCCCTACATGCATAGGGCAATTTGGTGATTGAAAACTTTCTTCAGGCTCAGTGAGAGATCTCCGCCTACGGCTCGGGACCATAGACTAGCCGAACGTCCAACATACATCCATGTATACCTTGTTCCTTCATTATGTGCGTCAATGTACGTAGTACAGCGCTCAAGTATCCAACATGATGTCAGATATACATAGTTCGTCAAGCAAAGATCTAAACGTTCTGGCGACGTGCATACACTGAATTGCGGAGGAGAATGCGTGGGCAACATAATCTACTACTATGATTTGACAGAGTAGGCCCAGACTAGGTACTAGCAAGCCAAGTATTCCTTGCTCGGTCTCACTGCGACGATTGCAATCAATGTACAGTCGCCATTCCGGGGCGGGATGACGGAATAGAGCACTTCGTAGTTTAGTAATCTACACCCCACGATACATATCCGCCAGCTCCCCGGTGTATCAGTCAATGGTATTCTACCAATGTCAAGTCCTCTACACGCCCAATTTCTGACGTCCACAAGTCCTCGTATACCCACATTCGCTCGGTGGACAACAACTCATGCGCATGGCGAGAATCAGTCGACGAGGTCGGGCGTGCTGGTGAACGACACTTGCTCACCCGCCAAATCAGCCCCCACCTTCTACCTCACCCAGGCAGCGCATCCGTGCATGTTCGTCCATGGCTGATCACATTCTTCTTCCCGCTCTCTAACCACGACTGTACCCTCGACAAGATATCAGCGGTACGGCTCAGCAATGCAGGCAGCCATGTTGTCGCATACTGGTAGCACCTGCGGGATCCCGTCGGCGAGAAATTGCGCCGATTGCGGATTACCCTCGTTACCCCCATCTGGTCTTCCGCTGAAACTCGTCCGCGTCGCAAACAACTGGAGACACATTGCGTCTGCCCAAGTCAAGAGAACACAGTATCACGCTAGATAACATACAGAAAGACGTCGACAAAAGTATAAAACGCAGACGGACGGCGCTTCTACGGAAACTCTTCCACGCATCTCGCATCTGAAGACGACAGAACACCACGAGTTCCCTCGGCTTGACTACTACATCAACGATCAGAATGGCGATTATCCAGATCCCCAGCGAGTACGGGTACGTTCAATTGCAATGGCAGAAACCTCAATGCATTCCCTTCCACCACACCTTCACCAAAGCCACCCACAAACTAATCCACACACGCACAGCTACGTCCTCGCCGCCTGCGTCTCCACCTTCTTCGTCGGCGCCTGGCACGGCGGCCGCGTCGGCGGCTTCCGCAAAGCAGCCAAGATCCCCTACCCCTACGAATACGCGTCGTACGAACAAGTGCAAACCGCGTCGCCGCAATCCAAAGCCGCAATGCTGGCCTTTAACTCGGCGCAGCGCGCGCACCAGAACTTCAACGAGAACCACGTCACCGCCCTCGGCGCCATGCTCATCAGCGGACTGAGATACCCTGTTGCGGCGGCGGTATTGGGCGCGGTGTGGAGTGTGAATCGTGTGGTTTACGCGGTGGGTTACACCAGGAGTGGCGAGGATGGTGGCAAAGGGAGGTACTATGGCGCGCTGTGGATGATTGCGCATTATGCCATGGTGCTTATGAGTGGCAAGGCGGCTTATGATCTTGTCATGGCTTAAGTGGCTGGGTATGTGGGTACACGCACGTTGCACGGAAGAGGAAGCGGAACGCTGGATTGGAGATGTTCTGGAATCTACTTGAGGATGTTGAAAAATATGTCTTGGTACTCCACGGAAAGGCGGCCATCTGCACCTCGTCAGATATTGACTTTGTGTGAACTGCGATGGGAATAACCCGCTTAATACGAAGATGGCATGTGTCCCGCTCCTATCTCTACTACTTCGAATCCTCTTGTATTACGGAAGTCGGACATCCCGTATCAATCCACTACTTTAGAGTCTAGCAGAGTACGAGCTAAGCCTGACTTAGTTTCGTATATACGATGTAAACTTTTATACATGTAAGTCAAACGCCATGCCGTACTCCAGTAATCGGTATACCTCAAAGCTTCCTTTTAGAAGTAGTCTTTACACCTCCGTCTTTCCAGTGAGCCCTGATTTCTCCAATGCGAGTATAGTACCATGTATGTCCTATACCTGGTTAGCCGCTTTGATAGTTGCATGCTAACTGACGGAGAAAACTCACAGGGAGCGCGGCAAGTAGACAGAGAAAGTTGCCACAAAGGAAGATGCAGACAGACACAGCAACCTGAACAAGAATCAGTCTAGCGTGCTTCCACGGCTCATCCCCTGACACACGAGAGTGTAGAACGACCACGGTAATTGGCGCTGCAAGCACCTTCTGCATTGCCCGTCGGCATGTGTCTTGTAGGGACAGGAAGCCGTTGCTGTAGTTGCTGTTCTGAGACGGGCGGGTCGGCAGATCTGCGTGCAATTGAAGACCTCGAATCAAGTAGAACAAACCAAGGGCAACCGTAACGTTCAGGACACTGTGATAGCGTGTTGCAGCCGGGCACTCGAGCCCCCTCTGCGCCAAACGGTAGCATTGCTTGCGAAGACGACGGTCAGTGGCGAAAGTAGACGCTACGAGGCGCGCAATCTGGACAACGAGGAGAGTGAGAACTGCCTGTACGCCGAGGAAGAGGATTGCATGCAGGATTGCTTTGGCATAAACAGTTGGGCGGGGACCATGACTGGTGCGTGCCAACAAGGATACTGGTCCTGAACTCGGCGGTGAGATCTCGACGGTGTCGTCGACGAGAACGTAGCTGTGCGTCTGACGGGTGCGACGGAATAGCCAGATGCGAATAACCTCAAAAGTGATGGACAAGATGGCGACGAGGAGCAGAGTAACGAGTGCGATGTTGGCTGTCGTCGAGAGATTCATGGCTAGGTAGAGAGGGAGATCTGGGGTTCAGAGTCAGTGGGTGTTGTGCCTGCCGCTTTGAATAAAGATACTTACTTCCTCGCCATAGCTCTTGCCATACGGACTGCATGGGTGGGTCTTGCTTTGACATACTGGTTGCGGGTAGAGTTTGATCCGAGGAATAGAAGAGATGGGTGGAAGGACATAAGGCGAACAATCGATTGCTACGACGCGGCAGGGTGGAGGTGAGAGCACCTCCTCCGTCGCACCTTCTTCACCTTGAGCACGACCATCAACTGTGAATCATTCGGTTTAATCATATTTGTTTGCTGCTCTTTCACTCTAATTGACTCACTCCCGCTCGTACATGCAGAACTCAAATTCGACACCCTGCTCCTCAATCCCACCCTCTTGGATCTCCTCTCCAGTAAATGTCTGCACTTCCTCTCTGCTCGCGTTCCTCCAGATTGTCGTCTCTCCCAGATTGATAGGGAAGAATGTGTCGCACTCGAATTCTTTCTTTATCTTTGTAAGGAGAACTCGTTTCGTCTGCGGAAGTTCAAGCGCCGTTTCGTATATAGTTGCTCCGCCAATGACGAAAATCTTATCCAGCTCCATAGTTGAGCCTGCGAGTCTGCTATCATCTTGCTTCTCGAGCTGTGCTATCGCATCCAACAAACTGGAGCATACCATTGGCCCTTCGACCTCCGTCTTCTTGTCTAGTTTACTTTTGAACTCTTCTGGCTTTGACGTAATGACAATGTTTAGGCGATCTTTCAGCGGTCGAAACTTAGGCGGTATGCTCTCCCACGTCTTGCGACCCATGAGCACAGCGTTTACTTTCTTGATGCTCGCCGTGGACGCTGAAGGCGATGTACGCTTCGTGACTCGCGCAAAGAATCCCATCTCTTTTTTCAGCTGCGGCCATGGCAAGCCTCCACCATTCCCTATTCCGAGACTCGGTGTGGCTGCAAGAATGAGAGTCAGAGTTGGTGGTTTGGGTGGCATTGCGGAGACGTTGATGTTGTGCGTAGCTGAGTTTTCCATCGATGTCGTGCTGTTCGGCTTGGTAGAAGAGCGTTGGTCCGGCATTACATAACGTATCAGGGTATTGAAAAAAGCTTTGGGCACTGAGAGCTTGATCGTGAAGCCAAGATGCAAGCTGTATGAAGGTCGGACGTGGGATGTTGCGTTAGTTGCACGCGGGCTTGCGAGCGGCGCTAGCGGAAACAACAGAGAACGTGATTCAGCCGCATAGGTACGGACGCTTGCATGTGTCACGCCATCTTGCTATTTTATGCTTGTGACACCTTTGCGAATTGTTGTGAAAATCCCATCTCCTCACGTTCAGCACGGATGATTGATGACTTGCATACAAGTTGACATTCTCGCACGAAAACGAGCTATAATACACGGGCTGGATACCTTCGATCATGCACAAGAAAATCCAACACCTGAACGCACGCTGACAATACGACACGTTGCGCTGTATCATTCCATCATGGCCGTTCCAAACCCCCACGCCGGAATGGTCAAGACATTGAACGCCTAATAATTACACCTTCGCAATGCCGCTACCAGATCGGAACCATTTGCATGAAGAAGCAAAACCTCGTGCAACCCCTTTCATGCAACATCGTTCTTGTTTACCGAGTTTCCAATGGGTATCTTTTGGGTTATTTTAAAGCTTGCTGTAGAGCAAAAATCCAGACTTCCTCCACGTACTCGAATACTGATTACTCTATCGCGGAGGAGGCATACCATACTATCCGCTTTCGCCACCTTCACCACTGCTCTTCAGTGGTATCGATAACGATATCTTCTTTGGCGTGCCACCATCTTTGCCAGAGTTGACATTAGGTGACTTCCGACGCAAACTCCGCAAACTTCCAGAACTGGCGTTACTAGATGTGGAAGCGCGTCGCTTTGGCCCAGCAGAGGTGGATATGCTTGCGAGGAGTTCGTCCTCTTCGTCCTCCTCCCTACGGCGCTTCTCCGATATCCGTTCTGGTGGCGATCCTGCGGAGGTTGAGTTGGGGGATGTACTTCCTTCTGGCATTTGGGTTGTCGACATTTTGTGAGTGGAGGCGGGCATATCGGTTGCGAGGTCGTCCATATCGGCATCGTCGGCATCGTCGTCTGGATAGTTGACGAGGGGTCGCACTGGCGATGCGCCATTCATGGCCAACTTTCCGGCCCCAGACAAATGATCATCCTCATCGTCTGATGTGTTGAAGTATGCCTCTTCATCTGGGTCTGCATCTTTCAGGCCTTGGCCCCACTTGCCACCATTGACGGCCGCAGCATGTCGTGCAGGTGTGTCGCTATCCACACTCGTAAAGGAATTGTCCATCTCTTGGGTCGTTACCGGCTCATGGTTCTGATCATACTTGAGTATCAAGTTTTGGAACGTATCCACGTATGTAATCTCCTGTAACCTGTCTCTATATGTCTCGACAAGATGCTGAACAATCATCTTGATGTTCTCGCGCCTGATGAATTCGAACAACTCCAAGCACGCCGAGTTGAGGAGATTATCGCGAGGCATGGTCTCGTATAGTATCTTCAAGATCGGTTCAAACAGCTCGTGCTGGATAATTTGGCGGTTATGCGTCTCATCGTGAAAGCCGAGGACAGTGCGGAAGTACTTGAGAGCGGCTGGGACCCATTAGTGTAAACCATCGTATTGACGTAGGGGAGACTCACTAAGCTTCAGATGCTTCTCCGGGCAACCCATTAGTTGGGCAACCCGCACTGCCAAACCTTCTGATAGAATGAAGTATTTGCTACGGAAGGAATGCTGACGGATGAAGAAGCACAGAACCTCGACTAAATGGGCGTAAAGCGATACTTCTTGCATGGACAAATCATCCACTGTAGCATGTTAGTGTGAACCACAAGGGAACGAACAGTCACACTTACTCGACTCTCGGCCCTCAAGATCCTTGAGGGGCTGGAACAACTTCCTCGCAGACTCGTCGTAGAAGTTCTGTATAAAGGAGTCTGTTTGAGGAATAGACGGCAGTTGCCCCCTCATTTTGGCCAGAAAGTCGCTGTTCGTCCGTCCGAGGGCTTCTATGGAAGCTGAGTTGGCATTGGGGTCAAGGAGGATCTTGATCGCATCGGCCATTTGCGCTTTGACCCCAAGGTCTACCTCAATGAGAAGTAACTCGATCAAGGTATCGGTGAGCGGTTTTGACTTTTCCTGAATGGCCTTGAATATGTAACTTCGCACCATCAAGGCATCATGGTCGATCAGAGACACCAGTATGTCGGTTCCTGCTACGCGAACTGAAGCATCCTGGTGCTTGAGCGCAAATTGTATCACTTCCAGCAAGCCACTGCTGATGAAGTTCTGATATAGCTGTGCCCTAACGTTGGCCTGCAAGCTCTTCGCAATTGCGCAACATTGCTGGATGAACAGGACGGCGTCCTTCTTCCTCGACAAGTTCTGCTCTTTGGGGGAGAAAATGCTGAAAAGCTCTTTCAAGAATGGGACGTTCGCTTGGAGATGCTGGACGATGTCGACCTGGTGAAAGAAGATGAGCGAGTTCAGGACGCTGAAAGTAGGATCGTCGAGGATGCGCGCAAGAACCACGTCTTTGAGGTATTGGAGCCGGTACGTGTAATGTATCTTCCGTTTGATGTTTTCGTCTTCTATCCGTACGACCTCCTTGAACTTGGATTCATCAGCGAGATATTGTCGATGGTTGGCTTTGTGTAGGGGGAAATCTGGGTCGTCTGCGCACTGTCAGCAAGCCATGTGAGAGTTCGCGTGGGCCGAAACTCACATTCCAAAGCCCCAACGACACCCAGAACCACCTGGTCTGTTACGACGTATTCAATAATGGCGGTGTCGTTGAGCAAGATAAGCATCTTTACGATGCTGCACAGTCGGTGGAGGTCTGACACGCTTTCGAGGTCTTCGGCCATATCCACCAAGGGGATGAGTTTTGGTATGTAATCTTGGGCAAGTATAAACTTGGCCAAGGCTTCGCGGCCGCCGGGCGTTGAATTTGCAGCGCGCATGTGGTTCTCGATTTCGTGGAGGTTGCCAAGGTCAGGACTGGGAAGTAGTATGGGACTGATGTGATCGATGTCGTCTGAAAGACCATCGTCTATGTCAGCATTAGCTTGCTGGAAGCTGGGGACGATTGATGTCACGTACCCTGAGCGAGAGCTTGCAGCCGCGATTGAACTTCATTGACAAAGTCCCTGTTCTGCATCAGCATACGGCGTGGACTCAGAAAGGCACACGCGGCTCACCATATGCTAGCGCAGCCCTCGGGCTCCTGGAAGCTGAGGGCCATGTCGGTGCCATTTTGCTCGGTCCATACAATGAGCGTGTCTGCACATGTTTAGCTGCTGCGATGCCATAGCCGCGGACAGGCGCATACCCTGCTGTTTTTGGTAGCCGTCGTCTTTGGAGATGCGCGTCTCGAGGAGTTGTCGCGACTGGTCGTCCTCGGAAAGGACCACGATCCTCGCTTCTTCTTGCTGCGGTCGCACACGTTAGCCTGGAACGCTTGTTGGGCCAGATAGCGCGACAAGTGCGCCAACTGTGAGGGTGCCTCGTCGGTCATGTGGGGGAACGTACGCTGGCGACGACGCCCTTGCAGAAGCCGGTGCCTCTGTCGAACCAGTCGTTGTTCTTGAGTTCGTACACCTTGACGCGCTTTCGTTCGCTCGCAGGCGGCGGAGCGACGTTTGCCATAACCGGCGGCGGCGTGTCGACACTCTCCGGCTAGGGCGTGTACCCTCCGGAGGCAGGCGGGCTGTCGCGATCGTTTGCGCAATATGCAGCGGACAATTGGCGGTGGATGGGGCGGAGGTCGGGGGTGGGCGATTGGGGCGGCTGGGTGTTGTGCTGGCGGATGACGATTAGGAGGCGCGGCGGCGCTTGCGGGCTATTGCAGAGCTCGGGAACGCGACAACAAGGGCGTGGATGGGGCAGGCCCGGCGCGCGCAGCAGTCGATGGTACACGCGATGGCGCGGTGACGGGGCAGGATGATGGAGATCAGCCTCGGAACACTTTGTCGCGTCGTGGGTCGCAAAACGAAGGCGGGAGAGCGCACAGGGCCTTGGGCACTAGCTGCTTGAAGCGCAATGCCAGTGCGTGCCTAGGTAGGTAACCACCACGCGGAACCCTGGCGAGGGCGGCGATGTATGGGCGCGATCTGGGAGGTGTGTTGCGGGGTAAAACGGTATGCAGTCGCCCGACCCGTTGCCAGCCTTGGTGTGAAGGAGTGCAGCTTTCGCCTCGTATGACGGCGGCCGCAGAGATGCGCGCTTGCCCACGGCTTCGTCACTGACGCAATCAGCTTGGCACCCACCACTCCATCAGACACGGCACCACCCATCTCAACATACGCCCATGGCTCTTCACATGCATCTGCCCGATTGACTCTGTACCCTCATCTCCAGGGCTGCCTACCTGGGCACCTAGGTAGACAGGCAGGCAGCCCTGAGGCTACCCGTTCGTCACTTGTCGTTGACGATACATCTGGGTGCATAAGCGAGGAAATGACTACAGAGGAATGCACCATTGCGAGGCAACCATCGCTGTCTCCCGCTGCGACCGGGCTGCCCATTGCCATCTGGCCTGCGATACCACTAGGCGGGGGCTCTTCGCCGCGCACGCCACTACCTCACGAGTAAGGCTCGTAAGATCCACTCTCGGTAGATGCACAGCGCATCTACATGGACTTATCTGAGCTGGCATCCGAGAGTCTCGACTTGCTGTACATACGTCCTTCCATAGCGAAAGTGGTGCACGAGCTGCAGAGCTGACAGCTACGAGTATGCATGCTGCGGGACGCGCTTCTCCATAGCTGGCCACCCGGCCCGCCCATCTTCAAGCGTCCCACAACGCCCATCACAATTCCATAGTGCGTCGTGGGAGCCCATGGCATTGCGCGAGCCGTCACCGTTGCGAACGACTCGATGAACCATTGCCTAGGCAGACGCCTCGTCATATATCCTACGAGTCTCGACACTACTAACTATAGACACGGCACACGTAGATGCATCGGCAATGGTCTAGCCATAGTCTTCCAGGGTTTGGGGATGATAGCGCGGGAGGCCAATCACCAATGGCACACATTGCGCCATGTTCCGCGACCATTGCCGCATTCGTTAGTCCGTGGCATAGGAAGAGGCCAGGCTCAAGTGCTCCTATACGAAGCTGAGCTGTGTCGGCGGTCGCTAAAGCGACTTGGGATTGTTTATCAACGCTTGCTAACCTTTTCGAGTTTCACCAGCTGCGCCTCACAGAGGGATCTGCATCTGAAGCGCTAGAAGCAACGGCGCATTGACAGAAACCCAGTTCCCACGCTACGCAAGTGCCTCTCCCGCCCCGACTGTTGGGAAATCATAATTATCCATTATAGATTACGCTACCCCAGAAGCCAAATACCTTCCGCAACCTCCTTCGATCTGGATCCTAACACATTTGCACCCCGTTTATCACCAACTACCAATAATGTCCACGTCCATGAAACACAGGAGCATACCAGCAGCATTCCACGAAAAACAGCCCGTTGCTACGATAAAGCCTTCGAGACCCACGTCCGCGCCCTTCACCAATTTTTCCAAGCCTTTGGCACAGGAGGATGCGCCTGCTGCGAACCCCAAATTGGTCGCCGCTGAAGAATTACAGGCTAGGATCAAAGCCGCAAGAAGGAGTAGAACCGCCTCTCAACCGCTGCCCGAAGCAGTACGACGGAAACTCGATCACTCGTCTGACCTCATACACCCAGCCTTGCGCGCCAGGAGCGGCGTAACACCAAACCCTGCTCGTACCGTCAGCCACAGGCCCAAGAGCCGTGAGGGCCTTTCCATAGACGCGGTGATTCGGCGACTATCCATGGAAATTGATGAGCAAAACCATGTTAGAGGACGCGGTCCACCCGTGTCAGGCCAGCCTTTGCATCTTTCGGACAACATACCGCCAGTACCCACACTACCAGCATTCCCACCCGCTGCGACCTACCGTCCACGACCGCGCCAAACCGCGAGCAGTAGGTCTTCTATGACCAAACGACGGAGTCCTTTATCCAATGTTTCTTCTCCAGACGGTAGGCAATACGGCATTGGTGGTTTAACAAACCCGCTAATCTCAGGTGCAGACTCAGCGGAGACGTCTTCTCACACTTCCAGACGTACTTCCGCCTCTTCTCGTAAGCAGTCCTAATTGATTCAACGCTTAAAGGCTCATGTTCGCGACAGGCACATCCAAGTCTGAAGACTCCAAAGACGACGACGATAACGACGACATCGTACGCGTCATCAATCCACAACCTGTAAAAGCCACCTTGGTCCAGCGAAAACACATATCTGAACCCCAGACTTTGCCTCAACCGTCTGCTCCAAGCTCGCGGCCCACGTCACAGCGTGCCAAGAGCCGCAGCTCATGGCACACCCTTTCCCGGCGCAGCATACTGTGCTCTGTATGAGTGCTCCGAGTCTGAATGCTTTGACCACAAAGACTTCATTCTTTGACCTATCGGAGAACCTCTGCACCTTGCATTTTAGCGTGATTTTACATCGACCAAGGCGTTTGGGCAACACAGCGCTTGGGGCCGATATCTTACTCCTCTAAACTATGTCATTCTTATATCACGACTGGGAAGGATTTGAGCGTTCAAAAGAGCACAAATGGCATAGGAGTCCTGGCGTTTTTGCAAGTGTTTCAGTAAACGACATTAGTGAGCATGGTCCACCGCAAATTTTACACATCTACGTAGATAGTTGCCCGTAGCAATCACGACAATCTTATGACATGGGTTCTTTCGCACGCTGCGTCGACTCGCCTCTGTTTCGGCAAACACAGGCCTCGCTCGGATTCTTCGATGCATCCCAAGCATGTTATCGATGCAGACCCACATGGCTGGAAGTGATACATGCGCGACGCATGCAAGGCGCAAGCCACAGACGGGACAAGTTCCGAACCTGGTCAGCAATACAGCGTATTGCAGTAGTCGGCGCTCCGTTGGCCCTGTAACAAGAAATCGGACATTGTCCGTGTCAAACAGGCTAGTGGAAGGTGGTAGCTGCGCGATAAGGTGCGGCGTTCCCGGGTCTACCGCCTAGCCAGCCAGCCATTGAACCAGGAACGTGGCTTTCGGGTGCAGGGTCGCTATCTGCGGCCCAGTTCACGGACCATGAATGAGGCGGACCGTCTCAGCTTGCGTGATAGCAGGCCATGTGTGAGATGTCTGCTTTGCTCGAAGACACGACGACGACGACGACGATGACGACGACGACGACCATGGCACAGTACACAAGACCTGTAGCACAAGCGGGCGTCAGGTGGAGACGGGTATGGCGGCCGTTCCTGACGATCATCCGTACTGGTAACGATGGTTTTGATTACGCGAACGGCCGAACGTCCATAGAACGTTTAAACCTAACTTTGTCCGCGGGCTTCCAACTCGCCAGATGCCCATGCACGACTCGTTGACAAATTGTCAGCCGATTTGTGACCAGCCGCTGAAGCTTTGGACGTCGCCGTCATGGCCAGGTGTATGCCTTGGGTGAACAGACATCTGGGACTCGATTTGACATGGCGCGATACTACCAGGTACACGGTCCATCGTACTATCATCGGGGATAAATGGTTAAATGCTTCGGTCCCAGATTGGCGACACACGGGGGCCCCTTTGAAGGACGTCATGCCCAGGGTTGATCAATAGCGTGACGCGACGCCGAGGTTCTGGGCTGCGGAGACTGTGATCTTCACTCTCGGACCCTGGGACTTGAAGTCTCCCGTGTTGATCACCGTGGCGATCACATGCTTGGATCAAGTCGAATGCAGGGCCGGCAGCCAAGTTGCATAATACAAGTTGTGCGAGCTAGCTATCGATAAGCCCTTTGATCGGGTCACTCCCGAAACTCCGCAACTCAGTGCACGCCAGACACACCTGCAGCCCCGCTATGAACCCTTCAGAGCGGACGAAAGAGGCACTTCTCGGTATGTGCCATATACACTATGGAGATGCAGACACACGAGAGCCGGTCGAGCGCATGCTAACCCTCTTGCAGCAAAGACTGAGGCACTATGCACTTCCATTGTCGACAACCGGAAAGATGACCCATGGGGTGGCGACGGCTACCTCTCCACCATTCTTCGCGCCGTGAAGATGCAGGATGCGACTGATTACTCGGAAGACGACACACGAACCGAGTTTCCGCCGGCATTGGACTATGCAACGTCTGCACAAAGGGAGCTGGTCATTAGAGAACAAAGTGCTGCACTGGTGCGTCGCAGGCTTCCATCCCACACGCCAGCTTTCCCGACGCAGAGGGGCCGGGCTAACAGAGCGTAGATCAGAACGGCACAAGGCATCTCCACCCTCATCCGCGATTTGCAAGAACTCTGGCTCTTCGGCGGCCTCGACACCCTCTCAGACCCCGCAGATGAAGAAGCGAACCGGACAAAGGCCCTTGCGGTTGCGGAGATGATCGAAGCGTTGGCTAAACAGGGACCCGGTGGTGCGAGGCAGAAGGAAGATGGTACAATCAAGAAGGAAGAGACACACAGCGGGTCATGAGCAAACTGGGCTATTGGCGTCTACTCTGACAGGTGTGGACGGTGGATTAGATAGGAAGCGTAGCGAGACGAGGACGAGCGATGCTTGCATTTGATACCCGAGCACTTTTTTCCAACGAGCGAGGTAATACAGAGCTCAATTATAATTGGCATGACTATGAATCTAGGAGCCACGATAATTTCAATGTGTTGGCTCACCACGGACGTTGCTATCTTGATGTGCCCGACACTCGATTCGCTTTTGTGCTCACTGGAGAATCGCGCATCGTGGGAAGTTATAGACACTTTTGTTCATTCCGGCCAGTTCTCGCGCCGCTGTTCCCTGCGAAACACAAGGCAATCGGCCCCGCCTCGTTCTTCATACCAGACCTGCAAGGCCTTGGTGTAGCAGCAATCACACCGTACATTTCATCCGCGGCTAGACTTCGTCACTTCTACCCACGTAACCACTGCACAAGTGTTGGAGACTTTCTGTAGGGGCTGGCAGAAGACGATTGGGCGACTGCTTTGAGATCCTCGAGCAGGGATGGAGAACCATTTCACTTCATGTAGGTTCATGTGGGTGAGTTATACAGAGTAGAGTTTTCGCAGTAATCTGTTAGGGAGGGACGAGGGCATTCTATAGTACCGCTTGATATATTGTCGTTCCAATATCGACTGTAGAGGGATTGGGGAGCCACGCAGCGATCAACGACAACCTTGGAACCCACCAACAGGGGACTCCTGAGACTCGAGTTCTCCCAGAACACATCAGATGTGCAATTTATAGGCGACCTGAAGCAGGGATTGAAGCACAAGAGGTAGCAGTAGCGAAGCCCAAGGTATCAGAACGGAAGGCTAGATAGCTTTGCAGATCTAGATGTTGCAAGTTAGAGCATTCCTGATTTCGGAGTACTGTCCTAAAGCATGCCAAACAGCTTTGCTCTGCGCTGCAAAGATGGCTACAGCTTAGCTATCACGTTCCTAGTATATATTTGCTGAGGTAGTCACCTGAAGAGGGAAAACTACAATAGTCGAGAGAGTAGGTGCATTGAAAGTGAGAGGAATAGGGTCCAGTCGTTTTGCATAATTGATCTCGATCAGCAAGCTGAGTACATCGTCATGTCTGGCTAAAAGTATTTTCCATTGACATCATCGCTCTCATGACACTTGAATGGAAAAACCAGGGATGATATCTGATGAAGCCACGCGCGGCAAGTTTACAATCGAAGCATGCGGTTTGCTCGTTTCGTACATGTTGTGTTCAAATGGGTTTATCATAGATTGGATATTGGAGATCAATCGTTGGCCAAAAAGCCTTTCCACTCAATACCTTACTTGTCCACTCTAATCTTCATACCAAAGTCATTCAGTGTCTTCACGTACTCGTCTCCCAGTGTTGCGGGTGTAAGAATGCCACCTCCTAGCTTACCCGCCTCGCTGTCCTCTAGCCTGCCTCGGAGAATGACTAAGGCGGCGGCACTGAGCGTCATCGCAGTGGCAACATAACCACCATGTGCGACCTCGAGGTTGGCAAACACCTTCTTTCCGTCCCCAGTGGTGCCAACACCACGGTAGTGCATGAAGTCCTCCTTCATGCTCTCTTTCGACGGTCCTTGGCCTGGGCTTGGGATGACCATCTTGAAGACGGGTTCCAACAACCAGCGTGTTACTGGTATGGCAAGCAGAACGGCGACTGAAGTAAGAACCACCTTCTGTGCTAGCCCAACAAAGAAGTTGGGAGCACGCGCGTACTCGTTGAAGCGGAATTTGGGACCATATTGCAGGGTTTCGTCACCCGAAGACTGGTACAGACCCCACGAGCGATGTGCAATGCATACATCGACGCTTGCCATGAGTCCGGTTGTCTGGATGCCTCCAAGCTCAGGGATACTTTGTAGACCGAAAAGACTGTACGGGAAGCTTCCCGACGGTGATGCGACGACGTTGTCTGCGCTAACCGGCGACAGCGAGTACGGGTGCATCGACTTTCCGAGATGACTGAGTGAGTATTTCTTGAAGAGTTCCAGCATAGTAAGGGATGTTCCACCACTGATTCCAGATTTGAAGTCGTAGAGTGTCATGATGGCGCGCTCGCAGGGTGCGTTGTGGCGCTTGCGCACCTCGCGCGCGAGTACGTACGCCATGATATCTGCAGGAACAGAGTCGAGACCACACTCGGGGATGACGATGGTTTTGTTCTTCTTCGCAAGCTCATCGTACTTGGCAACCATGTCGTAGATCCATGGCACCTCACCAGTGGAGTCCAGATAGTGTGTGCCGTTGTTTACACAGGCGGCAAGGACAGGCTCGCCATAGTGCATGAAGGGGCCAACCGTCGTGATGATGAGCTTTGTCTTTTTAACGAGCGTTTCCAGCTGCTGGCGCTCAAGCTCGCATGTCTCGATAGCTGGGTCTCGTTAGCTGACCTATCTCAGATTTTGTCTGTCGCATGTTTGTAACGCAGATTCTGTCGCCACATACCTGGCTGCTTGCGATTTGGCTTTAGCTTCGTCAATTCGTCAACTACAGCTTGCAATTTCTTCGCATTGCGTCCAGCAACAGCCCACTTGAGATCATCTGGCAGATGGGTAGTCACCCATTCCGCAACGAGTTTTCCGGTATATCCGGTTGCTCCCAGCAAGATCAGCTCATATTGTCGCGATTGTTGAGCCATCCTGATGAAGGTGTGTGATTGAGCAAAGAAGAGACGAGGAGACAGGAGAACGTCAATCGGGGTGTAGCTAGGGGAAATTCCTAATCATCGAATACCACGCGACTCGGACAAGACCCTTCTTTTGGATGCCTGCGGTCATGCCGAGGCAGGCGCCGGCGTGCGCGGTAGATACAGTATCTTCACGTACCGCTCGCAGTACACCTCGTAAGAAGTAGGGCAGCACCGCGAGTGTTGCACTACAATACAGTTCAAGATCAAAGTGATCGCCAGCAAACGATGCCACGTACAGAGTAAGCCTTTACATGGATAGATCACGATGTGGACATGCACTATTCTCAAAATAGTCTAAGCGCCTTGGCAGCAGACGCTGAATTTGAGCAATGCCCCTCCACGTCGATGAATGATCCTTCTCACCGCTATCCTTGAATGGCTTCTCGGCCTCCACACAAGTTGTTGTACTCCAATCGCACGACTGAGTCATCTCTCTGGATCGGGTAATGAAGGCAGAGAAGCCTGGTGGAAGAGCGCGACAGTGGAGATGAAGCGGTCTGCTTTCTGCGACACCCACGTTTCTCGCAGTGTCGCTAATATGCAAATCTCACAGGGAGACCTGAAAGCAGGATCCAAGATAATCATAGCTACATGCAAGAAGCCGCCGCAACCATACCGCGAACTCACATCGCCCGCGTCGCGCGGTATCCTCGTCCGGCGTTTACAAAGCCGCGCGAGGCGCTACACGTAGAAATACAAGACCCATTACCTTGCTTTACCTTGTCTTTACAAAGGCGGAACTCTCGAGTCGTCTTCCAGCGCAGTGTCGAATATACAAGGACTGGCATTGGTAGCACTGCACGTCTTGTAGGGCTGCGCTCTCCAGTGTCCTGCCTGACGTCTGAGTGCTGGTGTTCGATACACTGGAAGCAATGCTGCCTTGAGTAAGAGAGCCGTACCAAACGCCAAGGGAGCTTGCGCTGCAGACAAAATGTTCGGCCCATCCACACCAGATCCGGCAGCTGTCGTTATCTTATCAGTGTATCCCATAGTGACATCTTCTTGCGAAGATAAGATTGTCCAGGTCTCCAGTCCGTCCGGCCTTGTATGCCCGGACTTCCCACTTCAGAATGCCTTATAGATGCGGGAGGGAAACTGATGCAAGTACCTTGAGGCTAAGCGCGCCTTCCGTAAACATGCCACAAGCGCATCTGACACAATCAAGAGTTGAAGAGATAGGGAAGCGGTTAAACTGAAACGCATTTACACTATGGGTAACCACTCAGTGACATCGCAAGTCATCCGGGCTGCTCCTTCGGGTCCCGAACACGTGGTGAGGTAAGCGCGAAGAATGACTGATCATCTAGCATCTACCCGCCCGCAGCAGCTTTGGGTCTCGTTACGCACTCTACTACGAAAGGCGCCACTAGTCTCCACTTGGGCATCCTCTTCCTGGCAAACATCACGGGTTTCCGGGGTTGGTTGCGACTGCCTAGGAGTGTGGCTGCAGGCCAAGCCACTAGCGTCCGCTACTTAAACCACAGTCCCCGCTCTCTCGACTTGATCATCTTCCCAACTTATGAATCGCGTCGACGAGTACTTCCGCTCTTTCACCTCCAAGCATCACACCAATGGCCGAGACGTGTATAGTCTGCCTCGGCGATCTCGTCCCCCTCGACGACGGCCCTACCGCCACCGCATCATCGCTAGCGACCAAGCCGTTTGAGGATGGCGCTGATGTCGACCCCCAATCACATGCCAAGGATAAGATGGCGGCCGTAGAGTCTACCAAGGAGGACGATCTGGTCGCACATTTACTACCATGCGGCCACGATCTGCACAACGAGTGCCTCAAGCCCTGGGTCGAACGAGCGAACAGTTGCCCAATATGTCGAGCCAGCTTCAACATGGTCGAGCTCAGCGCGCGCGTTGGAGGTATGTCAGTCCTGGATGCTACGGAGCCCTGCGGTTGTGACGTTGCTATTGTTGGCTGATAGTAGCCTAGCTACTGGCTAAATGGTCAGTCAAGCTCAGCATGACCTCTACCCAAACCTACAATGTCTTGCTGCGCAAAATGGCTCTGGCGACATGGAATTTTGACTAACAACTCACCAGGACCCAAACTATCCGAGTACACCGTGCAAGACAAGCAGCAAGTCGCCGATATCGATCCGTCCATGATCATCGACGACGACTACACACTGGAGGATGACGGAAGTTATGATGCATGCATGGTCTGTGATGAGTTCGGTGACGCGTCGCAGCTCATGTACTGCCATAGCTGCGAACAACTGTGCCACGTCTTCTGTGCTGGACTCGACCGGATGCCATCTCGCGGGCCCTGGTATTGCCAGGGCTGTGTTGAGAATCCTGGTCTGCTGGAAGCCGCGTCCCGACGACGACCTGCAGTACGAGGTCCCGCTGCCTGGATCAACGGCCGGAGCCGTGTGCCGCGTCACAATCATGCCCCTGACGAATGGGTGGGCGTCTGGCAAAGCGTCTGGGACCGATTACAGTTTGACATTGAGTTCCCATTTGACGAGGAAGAACAGTCTGAGAACCAGTCAGATGTCACGCGACGCGACGACCGTAGATGGGAGCAGCGCATGCGAGTCGCACGGCAGGCCGGCGCCGGCGCTCGCTTCCAAATCGCCACTGACAATGTTGTAACCGGTCGACGCCGCAACTCCAACGTCGCTACACGATCCACAAATCGAGCGCTCCATCGCGAGCCACCAAAGACACCAAAAGATCCAGAGTCACAGGAAGAACTGCGGGCATGGAACCAATTTGAGAAGGCGCGCGAACAGCTAGCCCAGGGTGACGCACGTCCTGCCCCCAGCGTAGCGAGCACCAGTAGCCGAAGAGGACGCAAACGCAAGTCCATCGACTCCTCCCCTGCCGAAACTGAGCCTCGCGAGCAGAAGCCAGAACGCAAGCTCAAGCGCCCTCGAACCCGTATGCACTTGGACAACGGAGAGTCATCGTCGGCAGCCGCACGCCGCAACACGGTGGCTAGCACGCACGCTCCTGCAGCTGCATCATCGCCACCTGCAGTTCCAACCGGTGAGAGTTCAACCCCCGCGCCTGGTTTTCTGCAGTCGCTGCTTCAGGAGGTTGAGGTCGACCGATTTGCCGAGCGCGACAAGGAGATCGCCGCCCCACAGCCCCGGCGCATCATCGTGGAGCGCGCTTGTTCTCCCCAACATTCCTCCCCAGGTCTGTCGCCGGTCTACCAGAAACCTCCCGGAATGTCCACACCACCGCCTCTTAATCTTACTCGCACCACATCACCTGTACAACAGGACCAGCAACTGTCGCCAACCTACTCGCCGTATTCCCCTGCAGATGACGACCGTCCCGGACGTCGCACACTCGCGCATCGCTCTGTCGGCCTCAGCAGTCCCCCTCGCTCCAAGGACTCGTCGCCTAGCCGGCCGACCCTCTCGTATTCTACCAAAGCTGAACTGCAGCGCATGGTCACAGCTGTTTTGAAACCCATATACCTGAAGAAAGAAGTCACGAAACAGGAATATACCGACGTCAATCGCGACGTATCACGTTTGTTATACGAAAAGGTTGGTGAAGCTGGTGCTCATGCATTGGCGGATCAAGACACGCGGGAGAAATGGCAGAAGATGGCGACCACTGAAGTTGACGTTGCGCTGAAAGCCCTTCGTGCTGGTGGAGCCTCGCTTTCGCCCTCTGCTGAGGATTCTGCATCATCGTCCTCATAAGGGAACTACAAGGGACGGACCATTCAGGCGTACGGGTTATTGGGAGGAACAGATATATGATACCACGGATCTCTTTGGGCCTGCATTTATGGAGTTGTCGGTAGCGCTTAGTTATTATAGTAATCGTATCTGCGACGTAATCCAGGAATCTTCAGCCGGAGTTCGGCTTTTACGATCATCGAAAAGATTTTGCAGTCCTAGTCATATATATTATGCTTACACACATATGCTAAGAACTACAGAAGGGAAGTCATCGATGGCTGTATAACTGATTGCTATCTAATCATAGGTATGGTCGTGGAGGAAGCCGCGCAAGCTCACATTGTACCTTTCACGCTTGACATGGTTTAGTGCCCCTACGCGACTATTCTAATAGTCCTGCCTCTGATACCCGTCACCGCGGTAGTCACGCTGAGGATACTCTTGTTGAGGGTAGCCTTGTTGGGATGGTGGGTACTGCTCCGAACGATAGTCTGGAGGTCCTTGATGGTAACCCTGTGGGGGTGGGGCATGGTGCTCAGGTCGGTAGTCCTGAGATGGATACGATTCAGGGCGGTGATGTTGAGGTGGTTGATATTGCTGAGGAGCATAGCCTTCATGAGGTGGCCCGTGATGCTCGGGTCGATAGTCTTGAGACGGTGGGTACTGTGACGCCTGGTGACCTTGGTACTCGCGTCTAGGCTCCTCTCGGTATTGATCATGGCTCTGGTACTGTGGGGGGTTGTTGTATCCTTGCGGCGCGTGGTCCTGTCCACTGTAACTGCCAGACGGGGGAGCTGGACGATGGTCACCGTGTGGTGGTTGTGACGGAGGTTGGTACCCTCCTCCCATGTTTGTGTTCGCAGTGGGCGATCCGACGCTTACGTTCTCGTTTCCGATATCGTCTGGGACGTTGATCTTGACGTCAGGCAGGTACCTCTGTACCTTCTGTTCTACCATGCCCTGCACGAAGACCCAGCTTTGGCGCTCAAACTTGCGATGGCCACCATTGACCACACCCAGTATACTTTCTCGAAGTGTCTCTTGTACCTTTTGTACCAAAGCACGGATCTTGGAGAGCAATTTGGCCTTGATGTCATCTCCAAAACCGCGATCTGCTGGACCGGACGCGTCGCGGTCGAGCTGTGAATCGAAAGGATTTCCACCCAGTATCTTCTCGAGCGGACGTTGGAATTGATCAGGCAACAACTCGAATAGTTGTTTCTCGATTGCTCCAAGGATTTTGCGGAATTCCAAGCGAACCTAAAGATGAGTGTTTCAAGTCAGTATTTGTCTCACATGAATTTCGCACAGGGGTATTACTGACTTCTCGGTGGACTTTGGCGAGACCCGTGCTGAGCTTGTCACTGATGACGCGGGAGAAGCCTCCACCACTGCTGCTCTCGCCATTACGACCAGAGTCATCAAAACCTCTCGAAGTCTCCTCATTGCTGCTCTTTTTGCTCCCGAACAAATTTCCAAGACCCTTTACCAGGTCGCCCACCTGTTCGGCAATCTCGGCTTTCGCACCATCACCCAGGTCGCGTGTGCTTGTGTTTCCACGAAGCCAGCGCTTGATGTGATCCAGGGCTATGCGGGTGAACTGCTCAGCGAGAGGCGCATGTTGTTGACGTAACTTGTCACCAACTGTCTGCTTGATCTCTGGGCTGATAAGTCTCGCCTTCTCCTCGGGGTTCTGAGATGCGTCTTTGATTGTGCTACTGATCATGCCAAGAAGACCTCCAATCTCAAAGGACTGACCACCTTTCGACCCTCTTTCGTCCAAATGATCTTGCACGACATTGAGGGCCGATGAAAGGAAGCCTCGAGCTCCAGACGAGAAATCCCCGTCTACGGATCGAGACTGCTCTGGGCCTCCTCGGTTCCCCTCCGTAAGATCGAATATATCGCGCAAATCCCCGCCCGCTTCATCGGAAATCTGACCGAAGCTGCGCGTCAACTTGGCGATTTCATCCGCAAAAGGCAGTGACTGTCCACCATAGGCGTCGGGTGCTGCGTCATTGAGGTTCCAAGGGCCCGATCGGCTACCATCCGACGAAGACGGCCTGTCTTTACCGAACAGGGAACGAAAAGCGTCTACGACCTGGGTTTCCAGACTATCGATAGTCTTTTGTTGGAAGACTTCAAGTTCGGAGGCGATGCGGGGCTGGATCTGGGGCGCCAGCGAATCGACATAATCGTCGACCTTTTGCATCAAGACGTCGGGAAGTCCGCGCGAAGACATGATTTGCGAAATATGTATATACTTAGGTTGAGAGCTGCTACGAATAGAGCAGAATGTTTTAATGCTTGCTGAGGAAGAGTATAGATGAAGCAAGGTTGAAAAGTGGCTGGTGCAGGTAATAAGTGGCGTCAGCCAAGACAGGCTAGTAACGAATACTACCTAGGTAAGAGCTTCAACTGCTTCTGCTCCACGCAAAAGCAATGCAGTCACTACATAAATTTGTGCGCATGTGACTTTACTTACAAGCCGAGTCCGAGATCTTGAGATTGAAGAACAGTGCCTTTGATTTGCTGATATGCCGTGCGATCCGTTCCAGACGAACGTCACGCGTCATCCTACCTTGCAACCTAAAACCAAGAAAGTCCCAAAGACTGTAAAAGGAATCGCTATAAATAAGGATTGAGCGTGACCTCTCAAAGAAACAGTTTACCAATCACCGTCACCATGAGCGATATAAAAGTTGCAGGCTCTCCAACTAAAGCCAAGGCCGACGGCGCTGCCGGACCTCAAACGCATCGCACACACGAACCTCCACACAAACCGACTGCTGGTACCATTCTTCTTGCATTCACGGGCAATCTAGCTTGCTGGATCATAACAGGCGCCATTGCCTACGTGTCACCCTCGTTACCAGCCAACGATGACTTCACGTGCCTCGTCATAGCGTTTTTGCCGCTAGAAGCATTCGCAATCATCTATCTCATCTTGACCGCTTCGGACAAGGGCTGGTTATCAACAACACCAATTGCAAGCGCGGCCATTGCTGGTTTCGGCACAACAACCGCGTATGTCATATGTTGGACTGCATGGAAGAACTTTGCGACTTTTGCATTCTGGGTCGAGGCTGGCGTCTTCCTTTCTCTCATTCTTGAGATCAGGTTCCGGCTTTTCCAATCTGCAGAACGAAAAATCGGCGAGTTGTTGGACCTGTGAGAAAGGAGAATCGCGGTGGCTGAGCATTTCCCTCACGCACGAGCTTCTAATCTTACTGTAGAAGAACGAGTTTGATGGACAACTCATACGCATCTTCGCGTGGCCTATATATGACTTGCTAGTCAACTTCAAGCAACGGCCGGCTTCTGTTTGTATTCCAGATAGCCAGATAGGCTCTTTCCACCGGTTGTACCCGATTAGAGCTACGATATCAAGGGATCATGAGCAGAACCTTTGGGGCAAGTGTGCGGCGCAATTGAATCACGGCTACTTCGTCATCACAACGGAATCTTTCACTGCGCATCGCAACTGGTCGATAGGGTGGGCTGATAGACGAGGGTGGTATGGACGGAGGATGCTCATTCCGTAGCTGCTCGATCGGTTGAGACATTGAATTTACATGTCTTCTTCGCCAATGGAATCGACCAAGAAGAACAGCATTTGCTATCAGAATGTTTCATCAGGGTTCGTATGTTTAGTTGATTTTATAAGCAAAGCCAACATCATCCCTTTGGCGTTGCCATCATAACATCTACTCCTAGACAATAGCCTCAGGCCTCTCGACCCTCTTCTTCGCCGTACCCACACCTGCATGGCCTCTTTCCTGATCCTTGCCCAACCATGGCTTCAACGCCTCACCGACCATACTCTGTCGCAGAAAGTAGATAACCTGGCCAATAATAATGAGGACAAAGGCGATGGGGTACATCCAGTGAATGTTCAATCCGAAAACCTTGACGCCAATCGCCACACCCCAGAAGCTTCCTGTCAGAAGGGAGATGTTGAAGAATGCAGCAGAGCTGAGACGGAACAGGACCGGTGCAAGGGAGTAGAAGAGCGAAAGAATGAGTGTGTACCCGGTAAGGTAGCCTCCAACCTTGGCGTTCCAAGTCGCACTGCGGAAGGCGGCGCGGTCGAAGATACCCGCTTGCGTACCGTTGATGAACATGCCCCAGAAAGCAAGCTGGCCAACAACCTCATACAGCGGCCGTTCGGAAACAAGCCACTCTTCAAATACGTTGGACAGACCGTAGAAAGTGGCGCCTAGAAGCGCAAAAAGATCGCCCTTGACCTGGTCCGTAGCTCCAAAGTTGTTCGTGCCGGTGATGTGATCGGAGCCAAAGATTACACCTAGACCGCCGATGCACAGAAGAATGCCGAAAATTTGCGTGTAGTGGTAGCGGACTTTGAGGAAGAAGAAGGAGATTATCACGACAACGGCGATGGCCCAGAAGTTGATCAGTTGGGCGCTGAGAATGGTAGTCTAGTCGTGTGTCAGCATGCAAGTCTACGCGAGAGAATGGACAGGAACCTACGTAACGATACGCCAGTACGATGAAGTAGTTACCCTCGACATCCATGAAGGCGAGGATAAAGAACCGCCAGCCATCTTTTATGACGAGTCGTCCCCATTTCTTGAAGCCGTATTTGTAGAGAGTATAAGATGTGTAGATTATGTTGAGGAGGACGTAGTTGAAGAAGGACTGGAAGGCGGGGATCGATGTACCCTCTTCCGCGAGCAGAGACGATAGTGTATTTGTACCGGTGATGCAGAGAGCGAGGACTGGAAGTAACACCTTGTTAGTCTACATTTCGAACATCCAGTAATGGTTTGTTCGGCACGTACCCTGCCCAAGGACCAATGTGATCCAGAATTGTTTCGTCTTGAGGTATTGGAACCACCGTCCCTTGGTCTGCGCATCGCGTTCTAGAACCTCGTTCCCGGCCGCAACGTTATGCGACTCATTCTCAGATGTTACATATGTGCCAGCACCGGTTTTGTTATTAGCTGCCTCGGGCGCGTAGTGACTGTGATGCGCATCTTGAACGACCACGCCCTCAGCAGGGTAAGCTTGAATCGGATTCATGACCGTTCTCTTGATCCTGGAGGGTTCGAAAGCGCGGGGACCGAGCGGGCAGGCTTGACACCGCTATCGAAAGCTTGTCGGCAAGATCGTGAGATTTGGCGTGGTAAGGTGGAGCTTTTCGCAATTGACGTGAGCGCAAAACTCCAGAAGTCGCTCACGGTGGTGTACAGTTGCGTACGATTTGGCGGTTGCGAGAGGTTGCAATCCATTCCTCAAGTGGGGGTCCGCCACATTATAAACAACGAGGGCCGCCCTCGTTCGTTCTCGCCAGTCGCGTCCCTCGCTCCGGCCACCATGCGCGGTGGTGAAAAAAAGTGTGCTTGGCCTGCTGTCCAGAGCATGGGGGCTCCGCTTGTTCTTGCCTGGGTGGGGTTAAGCTTCGGAGACTAATGTACCCTTGTGGAGATGGACGGTGCGAGAGCATGTCGATGCGCGTGGGCTGGGACTAGGCGAGTTCCGATTTTGCTTTTTCGTGCGTTGTCGTGCATGCTACATGTGAAAAAGGCTGAGGGATTTGATCGTGAGTGGACCGGAGGCAAGACTACGTGGTGAGATTGCAGTGCTTTAGCGAAGATCGATCATTGGGGTGGGGCATGCGGCTGCATTTACGTGCCCGGATGGAACTATTGTCACAAATCCAATGCGTTCGCCACAATGCATGCAGAAACTTCGGGCGTATAATAGTGATGGGCCCGAGCACCTGGTGGAAGGAAATAGCAACGGCGAACGGTAAGTGGGGCTCATGTATAGCAATGCAGGTCACTGAAGCGAGGTAGTGCGAAAGCAAGATTTCTTTAGTAGGCTATCTAGAGGGGAGAAGAATACGAGGCTGTCATCGCGACTGGCCCAAACGTGTGTCGCAAACAGGAGTAGAGTTACCTACACGCCTTCTGAAACAAAACAAAACAAGACAAGCAAGACCAAAGGTAATGACTGACAACAGTTGGACATTCCGCGTACTTTTACCATGCACGTGTCGCTGCAGTCGAGGTCCTACTCGGAGTCCTCGTCGTCGCTGTCCGCATTCTCAAGCCACTCCTTGAACTGCTCGGCCGACTTGCGGACAGACTTGCTGACCTTGAGGTCGACATACTTTTTGCTGGCCTTGGAGCACCAACCCTTAAGCTGGTCTTCCGAGACGAGATCGTTCTCGTACACCTTCAGTAGGATAGCCGAGACCTGAGGGATGAGCTCGGGCTTGTCGTTGCCAACAAAGCGCTCAATGCCACCAAGGAAAGCCTTCTCATGCTTGTCCGAGGTGATCATCTTCTTGAGCATGGGAGCGCGGCCATCCATCTGCTTGACGATCTTCTCGGTGAAGAGGGTCTGGGGAATGACGGTAAGCGTGCGGTGCTTGGTTTCGATGCCGAGCTCCTTGGCCTTGACGTAGATGTCAACGTTGTCAAGCTTCTCAACACCGCCCTTCTCCGCGCCAGTGTCGATGATCCACTTGCCGAAAGTGTCGTAGCTGGAGCCGCCCTCGTCATCATCCTCAATGACAAGGGCACGCTTGAGGTCGTCGGGAAGGTCCTGGGCACGAGCCCTGATGGCCGCCTCCGAAGTGTCGATGGACCACTCAACTTCCTTGGCATCCTCCTCATCAATCTCCTTGGCGCCCTCGTTGATTTGGCGGGTCAACTCGTCGTCGCTGCCGGCCTCGAGTGCCATGTCACCATCATCACCGTTCTCCTCAGCGCTGTCACCGGGACTGCCGCCGTCGGGGGAGGTAGCCTCACCGCGGGCTTCAGCCTCCTTGCGGGCACGGCGCTCAGCCTTCTTGCTGGACTTGTCCTTCTTGCCCTTCTTGGGTTCGTTCTTCAGGATGAAGGAGCTGAGCTTGAGGCGGGGGTCTACGTCGGAAATCTTTCCGCAAGCCTTGCAGTCGAGCGTGATGTTGCCATCTTTGATATGCACGTCGGTCTCGGGGTTCTTGCACTTCTTGCAGAGGACAAACTTGGAGATGAAACCGTCGAGGTAGTCCTGGAGCTTGCTGGCGTCGTGGGCGCCGTTGATGATCCAACGGTCGTCGTTGGGGCTCGTGTTGGTCTGGGCGCCCAGCTCGAAACCAAAGTACTTGATGACGTGAGCGGGCGGGCGGGCGAGGGACTGAGCAACGCTGCTCAGGTTGACGATGACGGTCTTGATGCCGTTGCCCTTGCCTTCGATCTTGGACTGGATGCGCTCCATCTTGTAGCGGTAGAAGGGGTCGGTGACATCGCGGCGAATGTTGACGGTAGCCATGGTGACGGTGGTGCGGGGACTGGGCGAGGGGGTGGTTAATGGTTGTGCGGCGGGCGGGCGAACGGGGTCGGATCAGCTATGTTGACGAGGGCCGAAAGAGACATGCGCAGAAGCAGTCTCTAGTACGTGTGGGTTGGGTGTGCGTGTGCGACTCGGGGTCGAGAGGGGCAGTGGATTAGCCGTTGGTTTGGTGGATGATGCTGCTTGGTATCCGCATACAGCGAAATTTTTGCAGTTTGGGGGGAGGTTCGACTCGGAAGGCGTAGCGTTGGCGCGAATACATATACTCCTGTTGTCGTGGGCGACTCTGAGGTGCGGTTGGTGCTTAGGGCCTGGAGGCGGACGTCGAGGTGGCGGTTTAGGCAGGTCGCGGGCGGGCGACGAGCAGGCGGTTCGGCGGATAGGACAGAGTGTGCGGGTGCTGTTGCCAGTGGCAGTCACTGGTGTGGGCGAGGTCGACGGATGGATTTTGGCTGGTTCCAAGGGGAGTGTGTGCGGGCTGCGGGTGGTCGAGGGAAGTTATATGGGGTCGCAGCCTTTAGTTTTTCGAACTTGCCGAGCCACGCTAGCAGAGCGTTCTACAGACCAAACGCCCCCATCAGCCCCGCCCTGACTCAGGCAGTCATGCACTGAGTGGCATTGTCAGTTAACATGGTGACGAACAAAGAGTCTTGTCGTCTACACAAACGGCGGAACATCAAACAGCCCTACGGTGCTTTCATCCATGCGTGTAGGCAATCTTGGAAGCGTTTGACAGTTGCTATGTGGCCTGTATCCACCATGAACGCCCCGCAATTCGCCGCAAACACCACCAGCCATGTCGCATCTAACAACGTGGGCCATCGCGTTGGTCGCCCAGCAATGGTCGTTGAATAGGTCCAAGGTTCGCGGCAGCCTGTGACTTAGCACGTCGACATTCGCTACCAAGTCCTGCAAAACCAGCCGAAGACTTTGGCGAGCCGCGCCTAGATTGCGTCACACCTGCTAGTTGCTTTTTGAACATCCCCCATTCAACGACGACGAGCTCGAGCATTTTACCCCAGCTGTACGCCGACTTGCCAAGATGACTAGGCAGGAAGTAGACTACTCCCTGTATCTCGTGACAGACTCTACAGAGGCCATCCTCGGTTCCAGGGATCTGGTTGACGTGGTTGAGCAGGCGTTACTTGGAGGTTAGTCAGCCGTAATACAACATACCACGATGTTGATCGACATATGCAGGTGTCACCATCGTTCAATACAGAGACAAAACCTCGGACACCGGCATCCTCATCGCAACAGCAAAGAAGCTCCACGAAAAATGCAAGGCACACAACGTCCCTCTCCTCATCAACGACCGCGTAGACGTCGCCCTCGCAGTGGGCTGTGAGGGCGTTCACATTGGTCAAGATGATATGAACGCCCAGGAGGCCCGCCTTATCCTAGGCGAAGACAAAATCATCGGCGTCACCGTCTCGTCCATCCAAGAAGCGCGCACAGCCGTCGAGCAAGGAGCAGACTACCTAGGCATCGGCACGTTGTATGCCACGAATACCAAAAAGAACACCAAAGACATCATCGGCATCACTGGAATAAGGAAGATACTGCACTATCTCGACCAAGGCACCGAAGCAGAGAATAAAGTCAAAACAGTATGCATCGGCGGCATCAACGCCTCAAACACCCAACGCATAACATACCAACTCTTTGCTCCAACTCCCGCCAACGCAAACCCCAAGACCATCAACGGCGTTGCCGTCGTATCTGCCATAATCGGGGCTCAAGACCCCAAAGCCGCGTCTTTGCACCTCACCCATCTCCTCAAGACGGCTCCGCCCTTTGCCCCCCAATCCCCACTCCCACACTTCTACCACCAAAACCCCCGCGACGAAATAACCTCTGTCCTCAAAGCTGCTATCTCAGCAACCAAAAAGGTAAAAGAAATGAACCCCCTCTCCCACAACATGACGAACCTCGTTGTCCAAAACTTTGCCGCAAACGTCGCCCTCTGCGTAGGCGCAAGCCCCATAATGGCAAACTACGGCGCCGAAGCATCCGACCTGTCTAAACTAGGTGGCGCGCTTGTAGTAAACATGGGCACTGTGACACCCGATGGACTGGCAAACTACCAACAAGCCATCAACGCGTACAACGCCGCCGGCGGACCCATCATCCTCGATCCCGTGGGCGCCGGCGCAACGAGTGTACGACGGGACGCTCTAGCCCAGCTCCTGAGCGCCGGGTATTTCGACTTGATCAAAGGGAACGAGAGCGAGGTCCTCGCCGTTGCACGTGCAAGTGGGTATACGCTTGATAGTTCGAGCCAGCAACAGCGAGGTGTGGACTCTGGTGCTTCGCTCTTCTCGCTGCCCCAAAGAGCGCATATTGTTTCCCGGCTTGCGGCTCGCGAACGCACAGTTGTGCTTATGACGGGGGCTACGGATCTTGTTTCGGATGGCGCGCGCACGTATGCGGTGGCGAATGGACATGAGTATCTGGGGAGGATCACGGGGAGTGGGTGCACGTTGGGTACTACGCTATCTGCGTATCTGGCTGCGTACCGCGGGGATAAGCTGTTGGCTGCTGTGGCGGGTTTGCTACATTACGAGATTGCGGCGGAAGTTGCGGCGCAGAGGGAGGATGTCAGAGGCCCGGGGACTTTTGTTCCGGCTTTTCTGGATGAGTTGTGGAATCATGGGGAGAGGGTGGTGAAGGGAGATGTGGAGTTGAACGATGTGGCCAAGGTGGAGTTCGTCAAGGACATGGAGGATGCTGGGTTGGTGGAGGATATGTAGAGAGCGTAGCGGCCGCAAAGGTGTACATGGAGAGTCTTAAAGCACACAAGCAGTACGAGAGCGCAAACGTAGATGGCGAATCTGGGCATTCTTGGAGAAGAAAAGGGACTAGTACTGCACCTTTTACTTGTCGCTCCTTGTCCTTTATCTTAACACAAACGCTCACTGACTTCCAACATGATTTGATCGTACATTCCCGTGCCAACACTAACGCCAAACACGTCTACCTTGCTTTTCTGTACCGTCCTTGATTCATTTCTGCCTTCAAAGCATCTTGCTGATCCGGTAACGGCGCTCTTCTCCTGATACTATCTGCACCTCCACCCGCAGGTCCACCCTGCCCACCCGCAAACCCTTGCTGTTGTTGTGGCGGCGGAGGCGGACCAGGCCATCCCGGTGGCGGCGCACCCATACCGCCAGGTGGTGGAGGGAAGCCCGGAAATCCTGGAGGAGGCATGCCTGGAGGAAGTGGTGGCATACCAGGTGGCATGCCTTGTGGAAAGCCAGGAAAGTTTGGTGGTGGTGGAAAAGGAGGGGCTCCGTTGGCGTTTGGTGGGGGAGGTCCGTGACCATGGGGTATAGGAGGGGGTGGTAAGGAGCCAGATGCGATGAGTTGTGCAATGCGGGAGGGGTCCATGCCGTTGAAAGGGGGTATAGGCGCGCCACCCGCACTTGGTGGGGGTGGGAAGGGCATACCGCCTGGTGGGGGAGGGATTGGTGGATGATTTGTGCCTCCAATACCCGGTAGAGAACTCGAAGTGCCATCTGGTGCTGTGTTGAGTCCTGGCAGCGATAGACCAGGTGGGAGGAAGCCACCGCCTGGGTTCTTTGAAGGCATCTTCTGATCGACCAAGCCTTCGGCCTCGTCTTCTGCCTCCTGCTCTTCTTCTTCCATCTTTTGCCGCCTGCCCTGACCGCGGTCGAATGTGCCTTGCGCCTCTGCTGCTGCTTGGCCAATGTGGTAACGATCGTTGACGTAGTTTGTGTCGCCTGGCCGTGGACGCGTCCAGAAGCGCGTGACCCTATCGTTGGAGCCAGAGGCGAGGATGTGACCTAACGGATGCCAGTCCATGGTCCAGACAGTGAAGTCGTGAGCGTATTGCAGGCTGTGCGCGGGGTATATGGTTTGGGAGGGGGCGTTTTGCGAGTCGGCGGCGTCGTAAGGCGATATCGAGGGTGCAACGCCGGCGGGAGGGTTCTGCTCGTCGAGTAGATAGTGGTGTATGCTACCATCGACACCGCCGGTAGACAACAGGTTCTTGTGCATGGGATGCCATGCCATGGTGATGATGTCCTTCTCATGTCCCTTGAGCAGTAAGACGTCGCGCATCATTCGGAGATCAAAGATGCGGGCTGTGTGGTCACGAGCGCATGTTGCTAGCATGTTTCCTTGGACGGGCTCGAACATGGTTTTTGATATTGGGTTTTTATGTCCATGAAGCGTCGTCAGACAGCGCCCTGTGCGCGGGTCCCAGAACTTGACCTGGTGGTCCTTCGACCCTGATACTAGCAGTCCCTTGTGCGGATGCCAATCGACCGACTTGACTTCCCACCCGTGTCCTGTCAACGTCGACTCTTCTGTACTCGACGCAAAGTCCCAGATCTTGAGCGTGGTGTCGTCGGCGCATGTGACGAATTTGGTGTCGGTCGGCGCTATGGACAGCCCTCGCACAGCTTCGGTATGCGCCTGAATCTCTTTGACGTTGTTGAAGTTTGTCTGCCAGTACTTGACGACACCGGTTTGGTCTGCTGACAGGAGCCAGTCGTCGGTGGATGTGTATTCGACGGCGCGGATGGCAGCCTCGTGGGCCTGCATAATGGTCTCGAAGTTGAAGCCCATTCCGTTCCACAGCGTAAACTCGCCACTGGTCGAGCCTGTGAGCAGTCGCCGGCCCTCTGGCGTCCACTTGACTACGTTGATGGGGTGCTTGACTTTGTTCAGAGACGAATGCACGGCTTTGGCAGGTATCGACTCGGCCGCGCTGGCGACACGTGCTGCGGGCGGCTGCATGTCGACGATGTAGCTGGCGCTTGGCCGCTCCATCTCTGGCGTGGGCGCATTCTTGTATCGCGGGCGGCGGTTGCGCATCCACTGGACGGTCGTTGAGCCATAGTCGGTCACGGCACCTGTGGTTGTACAGTCAGTCTTTGATGCGTGCGTCGATAGCCGAATGACTCCATCAGCGAATCCCGAACCCGAAGAGAGCTAGATCGCGGGGGCAGATTGCGCGTTGAGAGGTCTTGTCCGGTAGAGAGCTGAGCATGATGAACAGGCATACTGACGTTTTGGTCGGGGCCGCAAGCCTCCCTCGAAGTCCGGACGATGGTATTCGCGCTCCATGGCGTGCTGCTGCCAAAGACGATGTTCACTCGATCAACATGGAGGGCGCGTCGGGTGTGAGGTGGTGAGTCGGGGTGCGCAGGTGTTGTGTGCAGTGAAAGCGCGTGCCTTGTCGC